AAGCAAAGAAGAATGCCAATAGTTCTATCCTCAAGCACCTTGACAAATATGGACATTAGGAATCACCCTACGAATGCCTCACAGATATATACAGAGTTCTGCAATATACGCATGTGATGGCTGCCAAAATACCATTTACACATAGCTAAATCAGTGGGCATCCCGGTATGAAAGCAGACCTCAGCCTTCAATGTCATACCATGCATTCATAAACTTTGTAATGGCCGGAACAACAATTTTCCCTCAGTTTAATTCGACGTCATTGTCTGAAGTTCAGATTAATAGCATAATTGTAGTTATTTCAATATTACTGCTGAGCGACGAAACAATCAATAGTGTAAACTGTCTCACATTTATTTTACTCTACTGTCTTTCACAAACGCATGCCGCCTGTTTGCGTCACATACACACAGATTCTATTGATCACGTTGCTGATGAATATGCTCAGTGGGAAAGTACGAGCATTTACTTTGATATATTTCATCAGAAAAGGTTAATTTTCGAAACGTCCAACTAAAATCCACATTATTGTTTTTCATAACACTGATTAGTCAGACGATTCGTACATTTTTCACTTATTTGAATATCACTCTAAAATGGCGTTATTTTGCTTTCCATAGATCAGTGTGAATATCGTGGAGATGAGAAATTGACTTTAATTATGTTCAAGAGATTTTTGTAGGGGATTGATTTGTCTCAGGTTTTATCACGCATGGACACCAGTTATGTTTACACAATAAGTAGAATGCTTTCCAGTTATTCAGAAGCGAACGCTTGTATGAACCTTACAAAGTCACTTCATTCAATTCTATGTCAACCAAAAGACTCAACAGCGAAAGAAGATGAAACCAACATCATCAACAAAATAAATTGTAACAACTGCAAAAAACACTACATTGGTCAAAGTGGACGTCCTCTTCGTCTTCGTATCCACGAACATAAGCTAGCCGTCAAAAGACATGATATCCACTCCCTCATATCACTCGCTGCATGCAGACAACCACGGACATCAATTCGACTGGGACAACCAGGGTTCAAATATTAGACAGGGGAAACAACAAGAATGTCCGAGAGTTTTTAGAAGCTTGGCATTCCAGTGAATCATCCATCAATCAATAGACACATCGAGATATACAAAATTTATCAACCAATAGGAAAGAAACCTCCCACACAACGGGTCAAAGTTCAAGTCAAAGAAACAATCAGTTCCAATACAAGTAACCTAGAAAGTGTGAAAACACACAAAACAACCAATTACGTCCAAGGTCACCATGAGAGATGATTAATAAACTCGTCGAGAAATCTAAAAGCTCACTTCAAATTGAAGTATGCGCTGAAGATGTCACCAAGTTGGGTGATAAAAGCTTTGCGAGGCAATTATCCAATTCAGAGAACACAACCACATCAAAATTATCTGAACATTACTCCTGGAGAAGAGGGAAGGCGGCGAATGAGGCTAGAACACCATTACATAGAAGTCGACATTGCTTACACTAAAACTTCAAGCCCAAGGCCTTATGTACTACTCGAACCTTCAGGGAATAAAAAGTTAGTCTTAAACGTTAATCACTGTCATCAATCACATGAAGAATAGTATGGTCATCATTCTCTTCTTCAACACAACGAACACATTACTCAGGTGATCGTAGAGCATACCTTTTTTTCAAACAATTGTCTCTTTTATCAATCAAGTAATGGAGAAACACTTTTCTTCTATAAGCTGACGATTAACCACTGCACTTATTTGTTTTTCCATCGAAAACCAAAGACGAATTAGGGTACTAAAGTAAACATTTTCACTCTTATAACTATTATTGTTGACATCATTGAGTTTGTTGTAAATAATATTCGCAATACGATCATTAATTCTAGTTACACTGATATTACACATTTTATATCAATCAATCGGTCAAACTATTCGACCGACTCCCATCCACACTGATCGTCATATTGTTCAATCTCGTCAAAAAGGGTTTTGAACACGATTCTTCAGAGACAATAGGCAGGACATAAACTTCACAATATACTGAAGCCGACAAAATTCTCGAAGGTTTTGTGTGAAAGGATTGAAGCATCTATTCCTCTCGGAGTGAATTTCAACAGCACTGATTTTGATCAAAATTATCTGATTCCCCTTTCAACTGTGGCGAAATAATTTTCCTTCTGTGACACACGTGCTATTTCACTTTGCTTGGAAAATTTATCTTGTTATCAAAAAGTTCAAAAGCGGAGCGAATAATTTGCAGTAGTATAGTGCAAACTCTGTTAAACTGATTTTCAGCTGAGGACTTTCATCTTACGAAGAAGTATTCTGCGTCCGAATTTCCGGAAGCTTCATATTCACCAATCACTAAATCAGTTGACTAACTATTTTGTTGGAATGTACGTCTCAATCGGCAAAACTGACTACATGATTCCCTTATTTATAGAGGTGAATAATATCGGAGAATTTACAGCAAGATATTTTCCTATACTCTATGTAAGTCATCTGGTAAGCAACTTGCCTTTGAGTGAGTCGAAATACTTTAGATGATTAATATTACTACGCAAAATTGAAAACTGTATTTGTCAACCTGAATATCGAGATGATTCGATACATACATGTGACGCTAAGAGAGAATCTAGAAAAGTCCGGAATTCGTTATGGTCAGTATTCACACAAATTACCATACGGTAGAGTGAACCACTCCATTCAATTTTTCAGTCGAACAGTCGGGTGCTGTCTCATTATTCAAATATTTTAATAGCTATGTATGTTCAAACCAAGTTCACTTTTATCGTTTTGAAAAAATTTGGGCATTGGATATATGTTGTTCACTATTTTAAATGAATGAAAAGCAAAACAACGTTGCTTATTCTGACGTCTTCCTAGTCACAATGCCAATGGCTTCATCAAAGTATTATTAAACCAGAATTTACACAATCTCGGCTTATACAGAGCGAAATTGATCAGTGATCCTCAGCATGAACTTATTTTTATGTCGTCAAGTTGGTCAGTTGGTAAAGATAATGTTGTAACTGTGGGGAATTGGATGAAGACGTTTTCACCTTATTCTGTCTGCGCCTGAACTTATCTGCCTATCTGCTCGTCGTACCTTCCGACTTAGTAAAGCACGCAAATATCAAAAGACAAAGGCTGGACTATGACTGTGTATTGAGGTGCAACAACGATCAAGAAAGCCATGGTATTTATACATTTTACAACAATATGGACAGCTAACAGCATTTGAAATAATTTATCTTAATAGCCAATAACAAAGTGCGTGAGAGATGATAATATACCATATGTGCGAGGTTGACAGTCAGTAACAAAATGTGTGGGAATGATAATATACCATATATACAAGATTAGCAGTCACTACCAAAATGTGTGAGAATGATAATATACCATATATACAAAATTAAACAGTCAATACCAAAATATGTGGGATCCTATCAGATAACGAAATCAAATGTTGATTGTCAAATTTGATCAGCGCGTGAAATTATAGAAACAGCATGTATCCACGTAATGAAATTACTTATTACACTAGTGTTGATTTTGTCATTTCATGGGGAAAGAGGTGATCTAACCGGCTCAAATTCGGTTTAATTCAATCACAATTTCTTTTCACCAGACGATTTGGATTCCATTCGATATGAAGTGCTTCTGATATAAAACTTACTTTGTGATGTCTGACATTTTTCTGGGTTACTTAAATATTGCCAACATTCAATAGCGTGAAGGCCTATGACTGACGACCTTTCAAGCATTTTTACTTCAGCTGGACTTCTCGGAGGTCTAGCAGATTTTCTCTGGTGTTCATTTCTTCAGATCTATATTTCTCCTCAGTCTTGCCTGCTGAATATCGCATTCTATTCCAAGCACTCATTTCGTAGACAAAATTAGATTGAGAATACTTTGTAATTTTGTCCTTTACATCGATGAGGTTGCTTTTCAGAGTGTCTGATGTTTTGAAGAAAACTCCACTGTTGTGTTTGTTGAGTATTTCTTCTAATATTGCCTGTCGTTTTTGATCTATACGGAATGACAACTGTTTAGGCCCATGTCTTCGGAATACGTTTTCGACCAAAATCAATGTTTGTGTTGATTTTGGCAATAAAGTTCTTTGGATAGTGATTTTTCCTGACAATTTATGTGATGTTTGATATTTCTTCTTTTTTTCCTTCTCGTCAGTTTTCAAAGAGTGTGGTCATTGAAGAAGAATTGAGACAACTGATACTGGTGCACTGATGCGGTGTGATAAACCGGAGTCTAAATGTTCGTTTGAGTGTGTTTTGTTCCTAGTCGCATAGCGCAGAATACAACATGCCACTGCATGTATCTACGAGTTGTAATATTCATGTTATTCTCAAATGTCAATGTAGCTTTCACTGTGAAAATTCTAATTTCAGGTGAATTCTAGACGCGACAAATCTGCAGATTTGGGAGTCATCGGAAACTTGATTCCCTTTCTGATATCTCTGAATGTTGTATTCTAATTAAAATAATTTTACTTCTTTGTGTAAGTATAAGAATAATGAGGTTTCTAGACCAAATGACCCCAATAATATTCTCAGAAACAGTGTAAAATCATCGGAAAAAAAGAAAACCCGATATTCCAATCTATTGTTAATATCGTATGTATTTCTTAGTTGCATTGAATGAAGCACGTTACGAGTTTTAATTAATAATGAAGGCGTCATTTCGACCAGTGCACCGTTACGTATTTAATTTGTAATTTAAAAAAATACCTGTAATCTTTTGTTAACGTATATATGCGTGGGATTACTTTTATCAATGACCTCTGTGATACATTCCGACAGCCAAGGGGTATCAGTATGTCAGACACTGATAACGAAATTCGATACAGAGTGGGCGGCACTGTTGAAATCAACTAATAACATCAGAAATTTATTCCATCTTTATTAATCTACCAGTGACATTTGAATACAGAATAGCTTCTCGCTTGTTAATTTCAATATAAATACAACCGTTAACGAAGAGATGCAGAATAACCATGGCGTTAGCATCCATACCTACCTACCTAATTATAACTGGTTTCTTTCTGTGTACATGTGAATCAGTAGGTAAGTCATTTCTCTCTCTATAATCTGCCAGACCATTATATGTAGTGACGATATCTAACTAGACACCTGCATTTGTCCAACCAACGATTTATCTCCATAATCTTCATTGTAATATTTGACTTCATTAGAAAAAGTTTGAATTGTTAATGGTTGAAGCAATTTTAAATTCCATCAAATGCAATATGTACAACTAAGATGCTTTCATCAGTATATTTATTATGTATGCTTCTTCTAAATTACATATTTAAGTCTCACAGAGATGGGTTGATAGCCCTTTTATTTATTTGTCGATATCACAATGGCCAAAACGTGACTGTATCTGCTTCGATTAATTTTACTTTACTGTTTAATTTAAGACGCTAAATTCCTGTGGAATAAAATATTTGAGGTGAAAACATTGATCCTGAATTATGAAGGCAAGTCTCACGACATTTTATAAAATGTTGACACTCTTTTCCTTGTCGGTTTTTCAACACTTTTTTATACTATACACCTTAGAAGGGATGCATTAAAGACAGTACACTTTATTGACATCTTTTTGACATAACCATATACTGAAACCTCGTGAAAAATAGTTCAATACAGGTAGATTACTGAAGAGTTTCTGGATGTTAAGGATTTCAAAAAACACTAAAGGGAATGGAGATGGATCGAATGTAGTCTCAGAAGAGGATTGAGTGTTACCACGCCCCATGCAGAGCATCAAGTTGAAGTTGAATGCGAGATGAGTAATTAGTGGATTCTGAAACGAAGGCATCAGAACACATTCGAGATCATGGAGGCACTTATAGAGGACTTCAGGAAACATGGTATAATTTAGATCTGTCGTTGAAAACTTGAGTTATACTCAGGGACCTAACCACGATATGGAATTCATTCTTCATCTGAATTACCAATTAGTATTATTAGGGTGGAGTTGAGCACAATTATTTGACTACTGTCCATTAGGCTTCTGACGTTTAACATCATCATTTTGGAATTCATGAATTCCATGGATCACTACCGTCTTCTTTGATAGAAAAACACAATTAACCTTGTAAAGCATGCGAAATAGGTAGATAATCATCATTTATTCTCAACCTGGGAAAGACTCAATATTCAGGAGAATGTTTGGGAGATGATGCATATGAGAATGTGCGTCGTTGGAACAGCGGTTTGGACGCTTGAGGACCATGCACATGGTCCGGGGTTCGATCACCGGCCACCGAGGCACTCCTTTACCTCGCTAGACCAGAAAAGATGCTAGTAAAGAGGAAGGGTTGTGCTTAAGACTAGCAACCCCATCCTGTAAAATAAACACTGCTACAGAAACTTCAAGCCACTAGCTTGAAGCCCTATGTTCCACTGGGGAACGTGAAGGAAAAAAATATGAGAATGTAAACACTGGGACTTATAATTATAAAACACTCAATTTTCTCTTCACAATCAACATCAAAATTCAACCAGTATCGACTTCTCTACGAGATTAACATTGGATGAGATAAATCCTTAAAATGTACACTTAGTTACAATATCAGATAGTTTACTTTATTGGGAAAGTCATTTTTGTTCAAAATTCGCCTTCCACTTCATACCGTCGTGAAGATGCTATTCGTATAAATGAAGATACAATCAGTCAATACAAATCAGATACAAAGGCACAAGGTGAAATGAACACGTTTTAATGTACCACTTCCGATTAAAATTTATTCGTTTCAAATTTTAAATTTTTGGTTGAATAGCAAAATAGAAACCGAGGTATCAACAATGTTGGGTATCCAGTACCAGGTGGTGGGAAAACAGTTGGATTTTTCAACATTAAAGATGCACTTAGATCTTACTGAGTTCAGTAGCATTCTGGATTTCAGTCAAAGTTTGCAGCAACTTCCCTTGTCTTCCGAGGATTTTCTCATTGACATGCTTGTTCACTTGAATGATGAATGCAAACTTCGACCATCAGTAGATGAAGATGAATGTGGCATGGAATGGGTATATGAAGCTGTTTAGTTCACTTTTCCACTATCGTTCTGGCTATACATGCATATAACTAATTTTCAACTGCTTTTCTCTTCCTCAGTAAAATTAGTAAGAAAGTTAATAAAGAACAAGAAGCGTTTCAAGAGATGTAAGTCAATTGACATACTTTCAATTGATCATCTTTTCAGTTATGAAATGCCAGGAAACTTACTATGCTTCTCACAGCCTGGTAGAAGTTTACAAAGGTCTGTAAAATTCAAATATACATTTTGTTTACTGATATCAAAAATAATTCATCAGATTATATCATCAATTAAATGAATCCCTTTGTAGACCTTTCTGGGTGATTGTTTTGGATCTAGATTAACATTTTATGGATTCGGTTATTGATCACATATTTTCACAATGAATAAAAACCAGCAGTCAATTGTGAATCTAACCAAGTACAGGGAGTGCTGTTCACTTTGATATGAGTCTCATGATAACAGTTCACATATGGCTTTTTACGCTGTGAAGGTTAAATTTGGAAAGAGAATATTCCTGCATTCAATATCGGCGATTAGGGAATTCATTTTGGTCTTATTTGATTGTTTCTTCAACCAAACATTCGGAAATTATCATGTTAGTTTCTTTAGTCTCTATTTATCTGTTTTGTCCACGCTTTTTATTATCCCAATCAAGTTATTGTATCTCTTCTGAATTTCATGCATATGGAATCCAACAGATTTATTACCAAGCATGAGAGAATTGAAAGCAGAATACGGTATGATTTCTTTACACGTATTGATTTTCTCAATATTTCGGAGAATATTTCAACTTCATTTGAATGTGACAGTGTGATTACACTTCCTTATAAGTGCATATACATAGAGTTGTCGTTCAGCTAATAGATTCTACAGATGCTTTGTCCTTATATATCCGGAAATCATTTGAAGATATTTTGCCTTGGTTGTACACTTGGTAGTCACTGGAGTCATGCAACTAGTTGCTCGTCTGGTGCAGAGTGAATTTCGCCAGTTAAAGTTGCAGTGTAACCAATATGCTGGGTGACCCGACATCATGGTGCACTGTGAAATGTAGTTATTAGGTGGTTGAAGGTTTCGTGCTTGTTGGAACTTGTTGTTACTACCTTGTGTCGAATACAGTCATGCAGAAGATGTATCTTGAGCATGAATAGTTCATTGGTGACATCTTTGACTGAACTCTTCAATCTCACAGGTAACATGAGTTCCCTGAAGACCCTAGATACGCCTTGCTCTCTTCCGAGTAATAAATAGGGCGAAATTCAGATCAGAGGCTTCTCGCTGGTTGCCTACAATCATCCGAATTCACGGCACTTTGCTGCCTTGCTTTCAAATGATATAATAGTTAAAATAGGAATGAGATAAACAGTCTTTTAGTATTTCATTATCGTGTATAATTCACTTCCGCTAACAGTTATTACCAAACATAAATAAATGAGGAGAGGAATTAGAGTTCCAGTGGGTCCACCATGTCGAAATCTCTCAGTGAATGACAGTGAAGCTAAATGTCGACAATTCATCATACCTATGTATTTCTCAGTCAATTGTAGAATTGAACATAAAAGTGTACATTCATTCATTTTGATATTTTCTTCAGGCGGTTTTGCTTTGGATATTGACGACAAAATATTTTGGACCCAACGGCTTCTCAAAACGTACACAAGTAATTATACGACTTCTTTGTAAGGAAATATACTTTCCCTATCTATCTGCCCCCCTTCTACGTATAGGTTGCTATCTGATATTGTTGCCATGTTTATTATCAGTTTTCCAGATAATTTACATGTTTGATCACGAGATGACATCAGCTAGAGAACCACTAGAAAACCTTGGATTACTGGAAAGAAATCTTGCGAAAATTCAGCAGTATACACCAACTGTGGTTTAATGCCAGGACTTTCTGACCACAGAGATCATAGATCATAGATAAATCTGCTACTGTGATACCACCCAGTGGCCAGTCAATGAATTCCAACTTCTGCCAATTCATGATATATAGAGAAATCGCCAGCTAATATTATAGGCGAGTAACTGATCTTTTACCTCAGTCAGAGATAATTAACAGACAAACATGCGGATCCATGAGAAGTCTGTCCAACGTATAAAAACGTGAAAGAAGCATGCTTAAAAAATAGGGTCTAGTAGTTTTTATGTAACCTCCAGGGATCAGCTGTCTTCCTGCATCAGTCAGCTATACTCTAAACATTCTGACGCAAAATCAACCGCCCGCGTCCCGCTGTTAATTCTGGACAGCTAACTATTGCGCCACTGTTTGAATGGTCACAATTATTCAAATATCCTTCCGCTTCCGTTTCCTTTGGTCCTAATGTCAACATTCAATCAATGCATTTAATAAACACTTCTTCATTCAACCCCATCAACGTGATAAGTTTCATAAACACTTAAATATTCTGTAAAGAAAACAATGAGATTTTTAAAATTACTGTTTTTGTCATTTCTCTGCGTTATGCCGACTACAAATTTTAGTATTTTTGAAAGGTTAGTGCATACTGCGATATAATAATATTATTAATGGTAATAATTTACAGTTGATTCTTGTACATATTTTCGCCATCGGCTGCACATTTATATATTGACATTTTTATTCCTCGTGTACAATGAATAGAAATGAAATTCGCTCCAAAAAATGGAGGTTGCAATGCCTTTCTCTCACCAACTCGAATTCAAGGTATCTCACCGTCATTCTCTGTTATGCATATATCAGTGTAATGATATTATCCATATTCTTATTATTCATATAGTTTCGTTGACTAGTCTCATTCATGAAAACAGACTCACTTTAATTCTGACTCGATATTTACTTATAGATGCAAGTAAGTTAATGTTTACGATTATAAGTACTGAATATGCTGTCTAGAACGATGTCTAAATCTTCTCAATTAAAATGTCCATGTGACACACAGATGACTGCGACTGCCCGAGAAAAATAAACCAACAGTTGTCATAGAAATCACTCGATTTCTTTCAAAATTGTAAAAATAAATTTAGTTATGGAGAACCCTTTCTTGTTTCTGTATGACGCTGACAACCACAAATTTCTCCCTTCTAACAGGCCGATAAATAAATACAGTTATACTGTATAAAATTGTCAGTTGTTGAATCAACTAGTCTCTTTGATAAATTTGAATAAAGCATTAGGAAGACAAATTTCTCGAGATGATATCATCATTTCGTAGTTGCTTTACAACCGCTTTACAACTAACATGGTTAACAATAATAAAATAAAGTTCATGAAAATTACTCAGTTAAATAAAAACAAAAGTACATACTAATGACCAATCATATTGAGATAGGTCATGTAGTCAGTCCATGGTAGGCGAAGATTGAAGTCTATTGATTTTTGTACACACAGTTTAGGCTGTATGTGATGATTGATCCAAAGTGCTTCCATCACCTTCAATAACCTTGAATTAGAGTTATGTGATGAAATAATTGTGAGACATTCATTATTGATTTTGTGACCAGACATTAATAAGTGTTTTGCAATGGATGATGCTGGATTTCTATTTAGATTAATAGCAACGAGATTTTCATTACTATTTAGTATCCATTTTGGAACTTGTTCATTTCGACCGCGACACTGAAACATTCTGTTGGTTTTACCTATATAGGTTGCACCGCAGGTGCGATTAAAGGACGAAATTCTATGTACTCTACTTCAAACTGTATCTACAAGTTCACCTGCAGCTGCGGTGACACCTATATAGGTAGAACTAACAGAATGTTCCAATGTCGTCGAAAAGAACACATTCCAAAATGGCTAGTAAATCATATTGAAAATCCTAAAGCGATTAATCTTAATAGAAATCCAGCATCATCCATTGCAAAACACTTATTAATGTCTGGTCACAAAATCAATAATGAATGTCTCACAATTATTTCATCACATAACTCTAATTCAAGGTTATTGAAGGTGATGGAAGCACTTTGGATCAATCATCACATACAGCCTAAACTGTGTGTACAAAAATCAATAGACTTCAATCTTCGCCTACCATGGACTGACTACATGACCTATCTCAATATGATTGGTCATTAGTATGTACTTTTGTTTTTATTTAACTGAGTAATTTTCATGAACTTTATTTTATTATTGTTAACCATGTTAGTTGTAAAGCGGTTGTAAAGCAACTACGAAATGATGATATCATCTCGAGAAATTTGTCTTCCTAATGCTTTATTCAAATTCCATATATATTATACATGTTTGTATGTGCACTGACACAGAGAACAATATATATATATATCTGTAATGCCTGTAGTAATTTTCTGAAGACGAGTTAGCACATTGACACTGACGATCAATCTCGATTACGCTCGTACAACCTACTTTACATTGTGAATGTTCAACAGAAATCATACATTCCTGGAGAATGTCAAGTATGCTAGAAATTCAAGGGAATGAAGCTGACACTCGTCTGTTGTTATTCGACACTTGCAGAATCCCCCTTATCACATAGTTACATTTCACCATTTCTATTTGACTTTACGTTAATCTGTTTTGACTTTCTCTCGCTCTCTCTCTCTTGCTTCCTTCAGGAGTTAAACGTTTAATTGAACTGATATCTAGAAAGCATGCTGAAGAAGCAGTCTATATGCAAAATACCAGTGAGTTAATTGAATTTTCTGTTTACATCAATGTTCTGAATTCTTGAATTCATATCTTCAAATACAAATAGAAAAGCTGAGTGGGGCAGTTTCCAGATTTATAACCACCACTTCACTTTATCATCTGTGTACCTTCTCTGATGTATTTTTGTTTTAAACCTCATTGCAATAACAACACTATTGTATTTGTAATTTAGATATGAAATCAATTTTGGAAGGTATTCTGCAGGAAATACGGGTAAGAACTGATTGGTGGTATCACATGCAGTCGATTGATCGAATCAATCAGCTTAAATGCAATTGTTAACTTACGTCTAGACTCTGATTTACAACCCGGTTTCGTAAAACTAGACGAAAGTTTTATAACCATAGAACGCGAAACGTCTCCACATAAATTCAGAGGATTATCCAAATCCAATCGATGGCATCTATAATGACGAATTCCCTTCAGTGAATTTATATCAAAATAAGATGTTTTCTTCACATTTTATCTTTTATCCTTCAGAAACAATATATTAAATTGGCCGTCGTGCAGCATGCAGTGTGGAGGAGTTGGCGCCGTTTATTTTTATTTATCGAAACGTAAATAATTACTCAATTATGGTGTAATTTAATAATAAAAACGATTTTGCTTAGTTTATCCAGAGCTTCTTCTTATTTCAAACTATGGATCACACGTACCTCTAGAAAGCAGTTGAAATCAAATGAGCACGTAGGAAGGAGATTTGTGGTCAGACGAATTCATATTAAATAAACCTCTCCATGAACCATTTCTGATAAAATGCAATCTTACAAATAAGCACAATAAGCGCGGAATAGTCATTGTCATTTGCTGATAGGACTGGAGGGTGAGAAAAATAGATAAAATGAGTCCAGATAAGAAGAAAAGTGGTTGTCGAGGAAAGAGCAAGAAGTGCGATGCGTGTAAGTGTGTATAAACTGGTCAGTTTTTCTTCATCAGCTAGTCATCTGGTATCAGCTGAACCCAGGTTGTTATTGTTCCTGGGGTTTATAATATTACTTCTGACTATTTTAGTATCTACCAAACACCAAGGCCGATTGTGATGGTTGTCACAAACATCAGTCACATTGACTGACTGTCTTGTTTACGCCCACTTACTAACGACTATCAACTAGGTGAGACAGAATGGAGCATGAGATCTTTCTCACCTGTGCTTTACTCGGTTTCGATGAGTCATGTTCCGCACAACATTGACTGAGCTGTATGAACGGACATTGAGCTTGGTTTCAAGTATGGATTGTGAACAACTGTAGATAGCTTCCCTTTTACAGGATCGAACACAAGTGTACACGTCAGAAAAAATTAACCCAAGTGTCAGCACATATTTACAGATCTTAGAATCACTGAGACTTGTGTTGACTTAGAAAAACATGAGTAGCAATAATTTTACAATTCTGACAATCTCTTCCTTTGGTATAAGGCGTTACATGCAACCTAGTGCAACCACCATAGGTCATTAATTATAACTTACCAGTGAATGTGCTGGGCACCAATTTGTGATGATTTTTAACACTGATGTCTGGCATTAACTCTAACTGACCGTCTCAAAGTGGTGTGTTAAAATTCACTGAAGGAAAGACAACAATGTTTGCATTTAACTGATGATTTCACTACTCACATGACCTTTCTTTAAACAACAATGTTCTGATTTATACATGTATTTTTCGTTTCATTCGTCGCCTTCCGAGAGTCACTACTTACAATCATATTATGTGGTTAGATAAAGTTTTCTGTAGAATCTAAAATCTAAAATTTCCTACTTGCAAGCTTCGATGTTTATAATACACTGTATACGTTGTTGTGAGATCGCCAAGTATTGACGCTTCCACTGGCTTCAAAACTAATCAGCATGGATTTGTTATTGTTTCTTTAGCCATGAATAACGTCCATAATGACTTAATTCGTTTTCTGGAACCTGGTCAGTTTTTCTAGATAACAGAATACGTTTTTGAATCATCACATCCAGCTAACTCGGGCCATCGTAAGTAGATATGAGCATTCTTCCACTGAGTATCTTTTCTACTTCCATCAAGCAGGTTATAAGCAACTCGTTTGTGAGGAATCGCTTCTTTCAGATCGCGTTTAGCTACGGACTCGCGCTCCCCCACCTAACACTAAAGTGGAAAAAGTAATCTGAGTTTCTGTGTGTCTTAAATAAAATCCGTGTGGTCTATTTCTACTAATCACGAATTACACAGAATCTGTTAGTTAATTAGTGAATCGTGCCAGTGAATGTACTTAGGAGAAACACAAAAATGAGTTGAAATCAGTTACCAGTAAAACAACAAAAAAGAAAGAAATTAGAGACACTAATTGGAATCGAATTCTTTCATCAACTAATTTGAATATTATGATAATAATGTTGTTTAGATGTTGGTCACGTAGTAGTCTTGTAGATTATTGATTCTGCCGCGGAAACTGTAATGAGTCTTTCTCCTGGCTGTGTGGTTCACTTCTTCAATATTTTCTGTATCCAAAAAATGTATGTACTCAAACTCCAGTTTCATTATGAACGAAATCAATTTCAAATACCGTTGTCCTCCTTATTAACGTGAGTGTGAGAAGTTACGGTGCTGCTTATCTTGAGTGATAGTCTATATACAGTGAGATGACGGATATAAGCAGGACGCTTAAATGCCAAGAAGGTTCTGACAGAAGATGGGTTTTAAACATGATTCATTTGAATGGAGAGAAGGCGGAGTTGATGAAGATAATCGACCAACCACAGAAACACCAATCGCCACCAACAGGAGACATGTAGAGTAAATGGTCTTTTTCAGTCCCATAGGAGCATCAGTTCAACTTCATTTTCGATGAATAATGACTCAAATTTTAGGATGGGGAGGTCAACACAGACTTTCATTCCTCTGAAATCGGCAGCGCTAATCACAAGTAATATTGTTCAAATTGAATTTGAACTTAGAATAGTTAGAGTTGAATTAGTCTAAAGGTCAACGACCTGAGGAGTCGACTTTAAAGACTCTATTCACCAGTAAAAATCTCTGTCATTATTTCAGGAATGACTGATATTGTCCAAGCCGATGTTGATGTGCTCTCTAAGTTCTCAATTTTTATATCGCATTGTTCGCTTCTAGACTTGAAGATACACGCAGTTGCACGTTGTATTCTGTGCCAAATCATTACATACAGATAAATTCAATCCGACCCGTTAACACGAATCATTCAATTCATTTTTACCAATCCAGTGAAATTCATCATTTCATAATATCATGAATATCATTTAATCAAATCAAATGTCAATTTATTCATACTTAAATTAGCTCTGAGAACTATTCATCTGTGTATAACGGATCAGGAATTGATATCAGACTAGATGAAAGCACTAAACCTGACTTAAAATAGCATTCGACAAGAGCGAATCAAAATTTCGTACGGGAGACTCTTCATTTATGGTTCAATGATCAAATTTTCAAACATTTTAAAATCATACTGAAGTATTGGTTTGTAGGGATTTGGTTAATTGGCTACAGGATTTCATCATGAGCTGACATCAGTTAGAGAACCATTGTAAAACCTGCGAGTACTGGAGAGCAGTTTCGTCCTAGTTCAAAACTCTTCAGCAGTACGCACCCACCGGAATTTGTACTCAGGACCTTCCGTTTACAAGGCGAGCTCGTATACCATTAGGCTACTGGTACCCGATCCCACGGCCCATGAATTCCATCTTCGTGAATTGATAAAAGTTGGAATTCATGGGCCATTGGATCGAGTCCCAGTGGCTTAATGGTAGCCTTGCAACCAGAAGGTCCTGGTGCGTGCTGATGAAGAGTCCCAAACTAAGACGAAACTATACGTAAAGAAGCTCACCAGCCATGATAAATATGAATGCTTGTTAAGTCGCTGGAATCATGTTGGCTTAGTCTGTGTAAAAAATAGTTTATATCGGTTAGTACATCAACAAAAATTCGTCGTGTTACCGATGGTTTTTCCACTAATACTACTGCTGCTGCTGCAGCGCGTGATGCTCATGAGACTTATAAGTAGTACATAGAAACAGATGTAAATATGTACACTATCTTCAAGCATATCGAATGGCGGAGAGACGGATTTAATGGTGAAGAGAAGAAGTGAAGTGACGTCAAACTAGTCGGTCACAGACTCAGGCTTGGACAGATTGAGATAACTGTGAGTTGAGTTGGAGATACAAGCCGTGGAAAATCTGCTCAGGCACAATAGAATCTTCAAATAGCAGGAAATATATGAAAAAGTTATGTTTTTTCCCATGGTATGTTTATTGACTGTGGAGTCTTCAGTAGCACCTGATTCATTTTATCGTAACTTAAGTACGGCTGCATGATTGATTGAAAATGAAATTGCTTTCTCCATCTGAGAAACAAATGGATATATTTTTTCAGTATTTATTTTCCATAGAAGAGCGACGTTAACGCTATGAATATACTCCTTCAGGTGAATAATCCTGCTTATGTCAACTCCAACTGCATTTACCAATTCACTCACAATGGCGGCAGGAAATAGATTTGGAGGACTGACAGATGAACGTCTACCACAAATTCTCAGCATGTTGCTAGAAGTCTCCGTATCAACGGCAGCTAAGTGTTCTCAGGTGCAATAACCAGAAACCAGACTGACAGAAGACGTACAATGGAAACCAGCTAGGCCTACAAATTTAATATGAGACAAGGAAAGCCCTGGCTATTTCGCTTCGCAGAAGTCATTACTGTCAAAAGATTTCGACAAAAAGGTTGATAAATCCATGAAACAAACCGAGCTCGTATTATTCTGCAAATGTGATCTTTCCTTCTTTGTTCAAATCTATCAAGGGGATTGGATATATGCAGTTAATTTATGTGAATAAGTGAGTAATATGCAAGCTATTCACTATTATTATAACAGCTGTAAATTCTTGCGAGTACTTTCACTTTCTAGGCGGTCAATCACTGTAAATGCCTCAGTAGAGTGTGTATTTATTATTCTTCGACTGAGGGGGGAAATAGGGAATGTCTCCATAGATAACAGGGCGTTTTGTAATCAGTGAAAGTGGAGTTGAGATAATCTCCCGGAATATAGAGTAATGGTAATGATGTTAGTGAACTGAAGAGTAGAAATAAAAATGATATTTTCAGTAATGCGATGTCTTTAAGAAGGATATTTATTCTAATCTCGGTACAGGTACAAAGGCTATAAAAGTATGAGTGACTGGATAAACACTTCTAATGACGAAGACTGGCTTGAAATCTTCTGACAGCAATCACCCCTGATATGCTAAAGTATCCAAGGTGTACATACCTGGAGACGTGAGGTGACATATTGTACAGAATGTTGAGGGTGGAAAATTTATTAATTTCGTGTTTGTGATCTGATGCATATTTCAACATAGAAGTTTTTGATGGCTTTTTCAAAAGGATGACTCTGTAGACGTTAACTTAATGTCAGAGTCACTAAATAACTTATTTATTAACTGACTAATTAACTAGGAAACTAACAAATACACTAACTAACCTGGAACTGACTAAATAACTAACTCACTGACTAAATAAAATGTTACCCAACTAACTAACTCAATAACTAACCAACTCACACACTCACTTAAGACCTAACTGACTAACTAAAAAGCTAACTAATTAACTAACTAAATA